ATGAGGAGTAAGCTTAACCCCTAGTGGCCAAACAAGATGACATCTCTAGTTAATTCCAATCCTTTGAACAAGTGGACAGCAGGTGTCCCCTCTCTCTCTCTCTCTCTCTCCCCCATCCTCAGCTGTGCTGTCTGTAATCATTGCACTTTGACTCCAAGACAAATGCTACATAGAACAGGCTGCTAATACAAGCTGCTCGAGCATCCCGTCTATTTTATTTGATTTTGTATGATAAATTCAATATTTCAGCCATAAACTGTAATATAATCAGTGCCAGTACCATATCTGAGATATCTGATAATGCTCTTTAACTAATATTTTTGATATTAATAATACAAATGTCACATTTTAATTATTTACTTTCTGACAAAAAAAAAAAAAAAAGAAGAATGCATGACTACTCGATGCTGCAAAGGGTACTAGTCTTTCCTTTAAAAATTATATAGTAAAAAAAACTTTTTTTTAGACTTGGGCCTTCCTCTTCAACCATGCTGAGGAGCTTCTAGACATTTCAAGTAAAGTTGTCTGTAATTCTATATGCACCTGATGTCAATGGCATCTGACAAGAGGTGGTAAAAAAAAACCTTACAACAGTAAAAAACGAAAATGGCTTCATCATGTGCTTTAGCTTGTTTCTGCCACACTGTTTTAAGACATTCTTCCAGTGCGGATGCTCCGAAAAATCCCCGGCAAAACGTTTTCAAACAGCTGACAGTCCATCCTGGGGGCTTTATGAACCAGAAGCTCTAAATTCTCTGCCTTCACTTCTGCACTCCATCTCAGCTGCTTTCTCGAGCAACTTTTAACATCTCTGTGCCTGCATGATTTCCAAACACTATAAGGCTGTCAGCTTGCAGCTGCTGTTTCTAAATTAATCCACTCATTCTTGCCTTGATCTAGCTCCTCTACACTTCTAGCTGAAAGAGAAGTGATTCTCATCATCATGTGAACATATATACAGCAGCCCTAAAAAAAGTGTCCAGACACTTTTTGGACACACAAGTCAAACTTACATTTTGTTGCAATTCATTAAACGGTGTTAAGATGATATTTAGTGGATGCACAAGATAAAACTGTTTAAGGAAGCACCTTGATCCAAAACACTGACTATCTATAAGACAATGAAATCACTATATGTACACAGACCACCTTGAATAATTATAGATGCAACAAATTATGATTATGTTCCTATAGTTCTGGAACTGTATTGCATTTGCACCACCTGACTTCTCAATTTTATTCAAATGACCAAATTTGTCATTTAAATCTTGCCATTTGTTTGGGTTGATGGTGATGGACTTCTTTACATGTGTATTCCAAGTTACCAACTGGTTTCACCCAACACACCATAAAGTGAACAACAGTGAAGGCCGAACTTGATTTAAGGAGCTTTGATTAGAGGTATTGTCACCAGGCTTATGGCACTCCTGGCTTGTATTTAGGCCATCTGTTGTCTCTATGATGAAAGACTACAGCCAAGTAGTTGAAAGGGTGCTCAGAAGCCTACTTTCTACCTTCACCAGCCACGCTTGGGTGTGTTCAACATTAGAGAGATGCAATAACAATAATGAATTCATAATATTGAAATATAGTTACTGTCATTTTATGGCACAAAGAAATGTGCACATAAAATTATCTGTGTAATCTCTTTAAGAAATAAGCTGCCACTAACTATTGAAATAAAATGAACAGTTTGTTCTAGTGCTCTAACTCAATAGACAAAGAGGTGTATATGGGTTTGTTAATGCGTTTCAGTCCTCCTGGGCAGTTTGTATTTGCAAACGTATATTTGTACATAGTATGCTTTATTACTAATGTGTATAAGGAGTTTGTTCTTTTAATATCAATTAAGCCACGTTAAGCATTTTCTTTATAATGGTTTTCTAAGGGGAACGCCTTTATGTAAAAATCTTGTCTTGCTACTGGGATTAGAGTGCCATTGTTTTAGTAGTAGATCGTGTTTATGGCAAGAATTATATGAGAAAATCGTTTTCTCATGGTCGTTGTTTCAGAACATTAAAGGGATAATTCACCCCAAAATGAAAATGCTGTCATTAATTACTCACCCTCATGTCGTTCCAAACCTGTAAGACCCATGTTCATCTTCGGAACACAAATTAAGATATTTTTGATGAAATCCGAGAGCTTTCTGACCCTGCATAGACAGCAACACAACTGAAACATTCAAGGCTCAGAAAGGTAGTAAGGACATCATTAAAATAGTCCATGTGACATCAGTGGTTTAACAGCAATTTTATGAAGCTACGAGAATACTTTTTGCACATTCTGGTACTCTTATGAATGCGCATCGAAGACTGACACGGAAGAGAAGAAATTGTTTTATAAAGTCGTTATTTTTTATTTATTTGCACACAAAGTATTCTTGTAGATTGATGTCCTTACTACCTTTCTGGGCCTTGACTCAGTTTTTCTTTTTTAATAAATTTGCAAAAATGTCAACAATTCTGTGTTTTTCTGTCAATATGGGGTGCTGTGTGTACATTAATGAGGAAAAAAATGAACTTAAATGATTTTAGCAAATGGCTGCAATATAACAGAGTGAAAAATTTAAGGGGGTCTGAATACTTTCCGTACCCACTGTAAATGAAGGTCTTGCGTGTTTGGAACGACATGAGGGTAATGTAATTAATAAGTAATTAAAGGAACAATATGTAAGTTTTCTCCGCTAGAGGGCACGTATTCAAAACAAAAAGAAACAAAGGTGTAGTTCGATGACGCCGTGACTGAGTGTGGAATCACGGGAGTTGTTGTCTTCATCCCCACAGCCGATGCAATCCGACGGGACTCGTTCGACGGGCGGAAATCATGTTCATGGATGAGCTAATGTATTAAATATTAATTAACATCGTAGTATGAAGCAGGGTGAGGCGGAAAGCCATCGAAGCGAAACGAGGCCGCTGAAGCAATTGCTAATGAGAGACGAGAGTGACACACGGCTCGAAAGCAGCAGAGCTTTTATTATGCCACACTTTAGTGCTTCCGCTCCTTCCGGTCGTGCGTATATGTGGTAAAGCAGCGCTGTTTTATCATACTAGATATGTTTGAAAGTTCTGTTATAATGCTAATCTGTGTGGTCATCACCTGTCTAATAAAACGCGGAAATCGAGGGTGCATGCCGTTATTGGCAGGTGACATTAAAGACACGGTCCGTGTCACTAGTTAAAATAGCTTATTTCTCTGGATTTAAACATTCTTCGAAACATCTGGGACAATGTAAGTCCGCAAAATATATAAAACTGTTCTAGTGGTTTTTGGATATTTTAATAAATAAATAAATCTTACATATTGCACCTTTAATGACAGAATTTTAATTTTTGGGTGAACTATCCCATTAAGCCACATTAAAGGGGTCATGTGATGTTGCTAAAAAAATTACATTATTTTGTGTATTTGGTGTAATGAAATGTGTTTATGCGGTTTAAGGTTCAAAAAACACATTATTTTCCACATACTGTACATTATTGTTTCTGCTCTATGCCCCGCCTTTCTGAAACGCGTCGATTTTTTACAAAGCTCATCGGTCTGAAAAGTGAGGTGTGCTCTGATTGGCCAGCTACCCAGTGTGTTGTGATTGGCCGAATACCTCAAGCGTGTGATTGAAATGTTACGCCCCTTACCATACTGTGATGCCTTGTCCCGACCGGAGTGACGAGACAAAAACATTAAAACCCATTATAAACGAGGCATTTGCTGCATCCAGTGGGGACATAATTACGGATTATAATGACTTATATTGTCTTTTTACGCGTTGCATTGCATCGCGCCGCGTAAACATAAAAC